TCACGTGGCTGGATCCTGACATCTGTGCAGGAGGCAGAGTGGGTTACTGAAATGACTACTGAATTTGGAAGTGAGCCAGGCCTTCCCTTCCTGGGGGCGGCGGGGGGGGGGGGGCAGCCGTTTCCCTCTCAGGGTCTGCTTTTCCCATCGGTAAGAGGAGGGGACAGTGGGGGAGGGAGGCAGGCCCTTCACCCTGCTCAGCTTCCTCTGCCCACGTTACATATTGGACTTCTCTGAGGCTGCCTTTGCAGCCTCAGAGTGGTCAACTGAGGGGAGTATGTTGCATCGAGGTCCCTGGCCTTCACGGAGAATATCTGATGATTTCATCAAAACCTCATAGATGTGATTTAACTTTTGAGAGACAGGGTGAGCCCTGGGGAGATAGGAAATGAGTATTTATACATGCCTCACCCAACCAAAAAATAAGTCCTGCTATATTTACATTAGTTAAGATGATACTTCTTCCAGTAAGGAATTAACACTTAGGTTTTTAAAATAAATAGCTCATGAGAAATAAATAGTAACATTTTGTGTCAATCTTGTTCTAATACACCTTTAATTCTAGATCCTTTTAATATAGAGGCAGACTCACTTGATGTTATTGAACCCCTACACTGGGCCTGGCATAGTCCCTGCCCTAAAGATGTTTACACACCTAATGGGTAATTTATGCATACCCAGGCAAGTGGACTTTTGTGAGTTACAATTTTATGCAGTACCTTTTCTTTGCATTGGAAAGTTGATAGGTTGGAAGTGTTTTGGTGCATGGAATAAATAGATCCTCAGATTCGGGCAGGAAGTATTGCCAAGGGTGATAGATTGAATGTTTGCTACAGATCTGAACTGTGAAGGAACTTTCAAGTGGGGCCAAACCTGAGTCATTTATAGCATCTACAGATTTTGAGCATCTGTGGGTGAATTCCTACCCCATTCCACCCTTCAGCCAGAGGTACAGTAGAGGACATTAAGTTTCTGATTGAAATCTGTATGAATATGGGAGGATCGGAATCTTAAGGCCACCTTTTATAGTCTAAAATAGCACAGATAAACACTTCTGTTTGTGGATGATATGTCAACTTTCCATTTTTTGGCTCAGTGATGCAAACCGAACTTTATTTTAAGTTGATCGTTTCCCCTGTGTAGCCGCCTCATCCAGCTCATATTAATCTTGAAACTAACGATAACATCTTCACCGTCTTTACCTCTTCCTTTCATATATGCTGCTGCCACCGTGCCCCCTTCCCCTGTTGGCAGCTGCTCGGCGCTGCTTTCTGATTGAACCTCATCCTAACTGCTGGTGTTGTGTAGCTGGCACACAAGGTCATTCTCGACTCCCCAAGTTGACAGGGACTTCACTTCCAGCATTTGAGCTGGAAAGGAAAAACGCTGAAAAGAAAGAGAGAAGGAGCAGCAGGCCAAGCCCCTGTCGTTCTGGAGAGGAGCTTCAAGAACGGGGTTTCAGCAGCTGCCAAAGCTGGTGGGTTCAGAAAGATTGCAGGTGTGGGTGTAGACATGAGTAGTGGAGAGTGTGGGAACAGAAGTCCCGGGGCAGTAGGGCTGGGTCACATAGGGCGTTGCAGGCAGTGTAGGGGACCTGGATGTCACTGCAGGAACAGGGACTTCATTGACTCTTCCTTCCTCGTGTGTGTGTGTGTGTGTGTGTGTGTGTGTGTGTGTGTGTGTGTTCCTTCAATTCAGCAAATTCTAACTGAGCATCTTTTTTTTTTAATTTTTTTTAACGTTTATATATTTTTGAGAGAGATAGAGCACAAGCAGGGGAGGGGCAGAGAGAGGAGGAGACATAGAATCCAAAGCAGGCTCCAGGCTCCAAGCTGTCAGCACAGAGCCCAACACGGGGCTCAAACTCATGAACTGTGATATCGTGCCCTGAGCTGGAGTTGGACACTTAACTGACTGAACCACCCAGGTGCCTCTCACTGAGCATCTTTTTTGTACAACATACAAGTATTGTCCTTCCAGACCTCTTAGTTAATTGAGTAGGGAGGAGACATGGGCGCCTAAACACCTGAAATACAAGGTAAAGAGTAGAATGATAGGAAGTGTGGGTAAAGCCCCAGGGTAGCAAGCATCAGTGGTCTTTGCACAACTCCCTCCATCAGTCTCATTTAAAGCAGTGCCAGGCTCCGTGTGCACTCCTGCCAAGGGATCTGTCATTGCCATCTTGCTGTGGCAGGGAGAAGGGAGGGAGGAGCAGGCAGCCGGGGAAGCTCAGGTAGATGCAATGTTTGGTTGGCACACCTGACCGGTGCCTGGCTCAGAGCAGTGTTCAGTATGTGCCTAGCACAGTTACTAGATGAGTAAGTAAATGATACAAAAACCCCAGTTGGATGATCCTCAGAGCACACACTCACTCACATGGTTTGCCTGATCCCTCTTCTTTTTGGAGCTGATGGGTAGTTTCCCTTGTCATTCTCCTCTGGCACCTTTGTTCACAGTGCTCTTCATTATGCCATCAGATTACTCTCGGGCTTATTCCTGAGTCACATTATAATTGCACACGTATGCACTCTAGTGTATCGGGCCTTACGGTGGATAAATGATGAATGTATTGATAGGCTGCAAGGCTGCATTCTCTGTTTTGTTCCCTGAGGCCTTATGCCTACGTTAAGTAGGCATCCAGCCTCAGGTAGCCTGAGCACTTTGCTCCCGGGTCCTGCCTCCTTCCTGCAAGGTCGCCTGATTGCTCAGGAAGCTGAAGGCCTAAGCAGTCAGGTATGAACCAAAATTAGACCAACAGAGTCTTCCCTTCCTTTCCCTATTACGGGAATTACACATGAGAGCATTTGCTTTGTAGTGATTAGGGGACAAAAGCATCTATTAAGATGCGTTTTTGCAATTACGTCTGCGAATGTGACTAGAAAGTGATAAAATGGAAACAGTCCCCTCCCCCCCTTTTTCCCAAGGGAACAAAAATTCTTTTCATTGAAGAAATCACGTTACTCGTAGGGCTACTTGTTCCAGAGATGTTTGGCTCTCACTGCTCCAAACGTTTCAGGAATTTCTCTGCAGAAACACCTTCAGAGGTTAGGGTAGCGATAGCCTGCTCTGCGTGAGGCTTTGCGCCAGCCACTTCCAGGTGTGCACTCGTACACTCAGCGCTCACGTCCACGGAAGGTAGGTGTGGGCCATCCACGTCGGCGTATCCCGAACAAGCTCTGTGCTGGTCATTTTATTGATGGACCACTGTTTCTTTTTCTTTTTTTTAATAATTTTATTTTTTATTTTTTTTAATTTACATCCAAATTAGTTGCATCTAGTGCAGCAGTGATTTCAGGAGTAGATTCCTTAGGGCCCCTTCCCCATTTAGCCCACCTCCCCTCCCCCAACCCCTCCAGTAACCCTCAGTTTGTTCTCCACATTTATGAGTCTCTTCTGTTTTGTCCCCCTCCCTGTTTTTATATTATTTTTGTTTCCCTTCCCTCATGTTCATCTGTTTTGCCTCTTAAAGGCCTCATATGAGTGAAGTCGTATGATTTTTGTCTTTCTCTGACTAATTGCACTAAGCATAATACCCTCCAGTTCCATCCACGTAGTTGCACATGGCAAGATTTCATTCTTTTTGATTGCCGAGTAATACTCCATTGTATATATGCACACCACATCTTCTTTATCCATTCATCCATCAGTGGACATTTGGGCTCTTTCTATATTTTGGCTATTGTTGATAGTGCTGCTATAAACATGGGGGTGCATGTGTCCCTTCGAAACAGCACACCCGTATCCTGTGGATAAATGCCTAGTCGTGCAATTGCTGGGTCGTAGGGTAGTTCTGTTTTTAGTTTTTTGAGGAACCTCCATACTGTTTTCCAGAGTGGCTGCACCAGCTTGCATTCCCATGATGACCACTGTTTCTTTTCTGTCATAAGTACATGCATGAGATTTAGCTCCAAAGACTTCTGCTTAATTTCAGAAAATCACATTTATCCAAAATAAGAACAGTGTTCCCTGTTTGAGTATATTGAAGAAAGTGCCATAGACTTAGAAAGTAATTCCGAAATAGAAAATCTTAATGAATAATAACAATAGTATCACTGTTGCTCATTTAACATAAGTATATCATATGTCAATAAGGTGTTTTTTAAGAAAGTGGACAGAATAACTGTTTTAAGGCACAAAATGAACTTGGAATGTAGAAGTTCTGTCTCTCCCAAACCGTTCCTTTTGGTACCCTCCTTTTGGTCTTAGCTCTTACACCTTGCGACTGTCTATACACATCACACACCCATCCATCTAAACCTGGGCTATTCAAAACCACTAGGGGAAGAATTACAGACGGCCACGTTTTCTGAGTCCAGAACTTTATTTCGTTCAGCCATCTTCAAGGCAAGCCCTGTGGTACGTACTTTCCTGTTTTGTGGAACCGTGAATACTGAGGAATTCGTTTATTCAATGATTTGTTAACTTCGTTTCGTACGCATTTTTGAGCATCTGTCACCTGCTAGGCACGGGGAATGGGCATTTAGCTATGAGCAGGTCACACAGGCCCTGCCTTCATAGAGCTTTTCTGCAGGGAGATAAATACAGTAAAAACAAACAAGTCACAAACGGGATCATTTCAGGATGTGGTAGTACTATGGAAAAGCCAGCCTGAGTGTAAAAGAGAGTAACGAAGCAGGCTGAGGGGGTGTGCTGCTTTAGATTGACCATAGAAGGGCCCTCGGAGGAAGGGGCGTTTCATCTGAAGCCTGTGTAAAAAGGAAGCCAGTCAAGGGAAGTGCTTAGGGAAGAGCATTCCAGGCAAAGGGGTCAAGAGCAAATGCCCTGAGCTGGGAGCACGTGTGGCTGGGTCCCCGTGCGTCTCTGAGAACGTCCATTGTTGCGCTGCTGTGACAGACGGATGCTGCCTGTCCTGGAGGGGTACGGAAGGCTCCATGTCCTACCCTGAGTGGCCTCAGACTCCTCAAGAATTTTGCATTCTCACGTCCTGTTTGTGTAATGTTTCTGAATTCTTCTGGCTCCCACGTAAGGCCTCTGTCGGCATGACTTCTCTGACCGTGTCCTTCAGATTTGCAACAGCCTGTGTCTTCTCTGTGAGTTTAGAGGACCGGACCTGTTAGGGCTGTACATGAAGTAGCCGTAAAGAGTCTCCATACCCAGGTTGGAAGTGCTTCCCTACATTATAGACGCTGCTCTTCAGTAATGTAGCGAATGTGAGGTTGCTGTATCGCAAAAATTTGGATAGGAAAGGGACTTTCCTATTGTTAGAGATCAGAATGTTCTCCTGGATTCCTTTATTTGTTAATCCATCCTCCCTCTTTCTCTCCCCCACACACGTACCCTTTTGAGTTGTTCAACCTCGGATGCATACTTAGAAATGCAGGTACATATTTTAGCATTGGGAAATACAATAATTTTATGGTCCACTTATCTGCCACTCTTCTCTTAGCCTGTATTTAATTGTACGCATGTGACATTTGAAAGGATGTCACTGTACATGTTGCTTGTCTGGCAGTTGAGGGGATGGCACTTTGTAGCACGTTTAGACGTGTGCTGTTCTGGAGGGGCGCCCTGCCTGACGCAGTGACAGTGTCCTCTGCTCTTAAACACAGGGCCTGTAAAAACGCATTTTACTTGGCTTCTTTCTGCCAGTGGCCAAATGCTAGGGTGTAAAAAGAGAAGTGTTAACCCAGATTCAACTCTGACTGTAGCTGTCAAATGCGGATGTTATTAATAACCTTTAAATTACGTGCGTGAACTTTGAACCCTGTTAGTTTATAGACGAGTTGGTAAAACTTCAACGTAAATTCTGAGACTTTTCCCGAGGAGGGGGAAATAAAAAGGAAGCAGATAGTTGGTCTTATAAAATGTTAGACTGGAATCTTCCACATCCGTGTGCTCACTTGGGCTCATTAACTCTCTAACTGTGGAAGGACATTAAAGCCCACTCATTAATTCCTCTTTGAGTAGACCCATCTTTTTGCGGTCATCACTCCCCAAAGCTGAACAGATACGTTCTTTTCTTCCAGAAGCAGGATTTTTGTTCCTTTCTCAAAACCAATTAAGGAAATGGTTAGATCCAGGGGGAGCATGGACACACATTTGTGCTGCCGTGGATGGGTGGTGTGCTTGAAAAAGCCTAGGCTGGTTCTCTTACTTAATGTGCCACTTGGCAGGCAAACTGTTTATTTCTCTAAAACCCCAGGGTTTTTCATCTGGAAAAAAAAAAAAAAAGATAGTAAGAATATAGACAAAAAATAAATGGCAGCTATTATTGGGATTATTTTTTAAATGTTTTTCCCACAAAAGCAGTTCATCAGAAGATAAACCCATTAGATTTTGTGTCTTAAATGCATGGTTATTTGTACTTATTTGCATTAGTTTCTTTCCCTGGAAGACTCTTAACATCCTGAATAGCTTGTAATTTCTTAACTCATTTGTCTCTGAAAACTGGCAGGTAGTTCCACTCCCACCCCCCTTAACATGAGGCTCTATTTTTATTTTATTTTTTAACTTTATTTATTTTATTTTATTTTATTTTTGTTTAAAAAAATTTTTAATACGAAATTTATTATCAAATTGGTTTCCATACAGCACCCAGTGCTCATCCCAACAGGTGCCTTCCTCGATGCCCCTCACCCACTTTCCCTCCCTCCCACCCCCCAACAACCCTCAGTTTATTCTCAGTTTTTAAGGAGGCTCTATTTTTGGATGCAGTTCATCCCAGACATCACGGGAACGCAGAGCTGGGTGCTGTTGGGAGGTCAGGTTCTGTTGTGAGGACCTGAGCTCAGACTCCCGCTCCGCCACCCAGGGCGAGTCAGACTTTCTGAGCCTCTGTGTTCCTCATCTATAAAACAAATTTGATAATAGTACTGCTTTCATGGGGTTTTGGTGAGAATGACATGAGGCGGTCCGTGGCAGCCTCAGCACCCTCTGTGCCACTCTAAGCACTTACTAAAATGTGAGTTCTCTTTCCTCTTTTCTCTACAGTACAAACCTCAACTCTGTGAAATAACTCAAACTTTGTCTCTTGTGAAACTGTCTAGCAAGACACTGTTTCCTTAAGTGTGGAGTGCAGTATCATGGTGTCACAGGAGATGGTCGCAGGTACAGAACGGATGAGCATTTTATCTTTTTTTTTTTTTTAAGTTTATTTAGAGAGAGAGAGAGAGAGAGAGAGAGAGAGATGGGGAAGGGCAGAGAGAGAGGGAGAAGGAGAGAATCCCAAGAAGGCTCCATGCTACCAGAACAGAGCCCTGCGTGGGGCTCAGACTCACACACCATGAGATCATGACCTGACCCAAAAGCAAAAGTTGGACACTTGACCAACTGAGCCAACTGAGCCCCCAAGTGAGCATTTTATAGAGAGAGTCACAGTGATCTTTAAAAAGGGTATCTTCTGTTAATGGTGAGTGATCCTGATTTTCCACTTACTACACTTCTGGACAATGTAAAAGATGTGAATGGGCTTAAAGAAAAATGTTAAATAGAAGTGCAGGTGGTAAATGGCTGTGACAAATGTGTGGAGGTGGGACATAAGCAATGGGCATGGTGGAGGGTAGCGGTCAGACTTGGGGTCTGAAAACTCGGGGTTTTACCTCAGCATCTCATTAGGTTTGAGATACAGTAGACGTTAGCGTGAGATGTGACTCCAGCCCCTTCTGGCTGTGTGACTTTGGACAACTTAATTAGTCTTTCCCTCTCCCTCCCTTTCTGCAAATACTTATTGAAGGCCTATTTCCTTATCTTAAAAACGTGGATGCTGCTTTCTGGGGGTTTTGTAAAGATGCAGTGCAAAGGGAGAAGATACTGGAAGCATATGTATCTTACCTACTTGGTACGTCCACCATACCAAGCTCATACCTGGTGTAGCAAGTGCTCAGTAAACTTGGGTTCTTGTGTTACCCAGGACTTGTGTTGCAAGTGGTAGAACCCCCACTTCAGCCAGCTTGGGGCAAAAATATACTCAGTCTCCAGGAAGGTTAGCAGTGACCTATGCCTTGGGTGCAGCTGGAAGCCAGGACTCTGATGCCACCGGGACCCTCTCCAGCTCCTGTGTCTGGTGCTCTGTGTGTGTCATCGGTCCATCCGTCTGTCCAGATTCCTCACAGATCAAGGAACAGAACCACCGGCGATCACCAGGCGCCCCTCCTCAGAAGGGATCTGCACACTGAGGTCCCTGTTTCCCAAGCCCAGAAATCCTGTGAGAGCCTGGGCCCAGCACCAGTCAGGTACCCACCCTGCCAGCCACCGGGGTCCAGAGGACTGGAGCTGAACGGAAGGGGCAGCGCCACTTGAGCCACAGGTTTAGAGTGACAGGAAAGACCGTCTTGCAGGCCAAGGGCATTATTACCTGCTGCCACTGCATTTACCCTTTTCATCTCTTTGTGCGACTTTCAGGGGTAGGAGTGTTTACCCTCTGTGGCCCTCGGTTTTCTCCTCTGAGGTTTTGAGGTTTAGATGATGTCATGGATGTGAGCGTACATTTCATGGTCTTAAATTTTATGTGCCTAAGTTCATTATTATTGCTGTCACTGCTCATGCCCTCCAGATTTTGACACACCATCCAGGGGCTCCCAGTCTCTGGATCGTTGACCCTCAGGGAAGCAGAGAGGAAGGTTTAAAGTTGTTTTAAGAAGTTAGGTCAGCATGCCATATAAATTTCTATATTGAATACAACCCTTTTTAAATTTGATTTTGAATTGAAATACACATTATGAAAAGAGTATGCATGTCCTAAGTGCACAGTCTTCCCGAACAGAGCACAATTGTGTGTCCAGTCCCTGGATTAAAAATCAAGTCAGTCCCCTAGAACCACCCCACCCCCGCAACTTGTAGCACAAGTAGATGATGTAGATGTGTTTATACACCATCTAAGAAATCATTTAAAAGCATTACCAGCATCATGGTAGCATTTTCCATGCTGTGCTTTTTTAGTAAGCAGAATTTTAAAATACAACTGGCCTTACGTCATAAGTTTTTTAATTTTAAAAGGAATCCTCAGGGGCACCTGTGTGGCTCAGTCGGTTAAGCATGCGACTTCGGCTCAGGTCATGATCTCACAGTTCGTGAGCTTGAGGCCCGCATCAGGCTCTGTGCTGACAGCTCAAAGCCTGGAGCCTGCTTCACATTCTGTGTCTCCTTCTCTCTCTGCCCTTCCACCACTCATGCGCGCACTCTCTCTCTCTCTCTCTCTCTCTGTCTCAAAAATAAACATTAAAAAAAAAAAGTTTAAAAGGAATCCTCAGGTCACTCTCATTGCACCCTTTGAAATGTTTTCTTCCTGGCTGAAGTTCCCATCAGGTGATAAAAATGTGTTTGGTTCTCTTGGATATGTGTTATTCACGTCTTATGCCTTTGTCCCTTCCCGGGTTGCACCTTCTTCCAGTGAAAACCAGTCTTCCCCTATCTTAAGTGGCTTGTAGTTTCTTTCCCGTGCAGAGCTTAGTGTGAAAACCGACTGACTCCCATGCTGTCAGCTTCCCCCAACACTGAGCTTTGTGGAACGACTCTTTTTATCCCCAAAACAGAACTCCTCAGATCATGGGCACTGCCGGTCTCTGAAATGGTTCCCTGTTCGTAACTATGTCCACTTGCTACCGCTGTGGCGCTCCACAGGATGAATGTCATTACGAGTGTGTTTTAATTTGCCAAATTTTCCAACATCTTCTCCCCTCGTTTTTCTCTTTTAGGCTCTAGACCAAGATAGAACAGCCTTACAGAAAGTGAAGAAGTCTGTCAAAGCAATATATAATTCCGGTCAAGGTAAGTACTTTCCAAAGCAGACGGCATGAATTATATATAACGTTTGCAGTTTTCTCTGTTATCTGTAAGATGTTACGTTTATAGAAGACAATACAAAAGAAAAAATAAGGTCGAAGAAGTTCCATTTTTCCCTTTTTTCTCTGTTTCTTCTCCATCTAAACCGGTTACTGTTTCCAAAATAAAACAATGAAAGAACATTAGTTGCAGTGGGTTTTTAGACCCACTGGACATTTAAAACCTTAGCAGGTGTACAGGTAATTTAGCCACAGGTGACATGTGAGATAGGCAGCATCTGTTTGTGTAGCTGATCAGTTCGTAATTCAGGGGTCTCTGTTAAACACATGAAGATCGTTCTTTCTGCAGCGTACCTCTACAACATTTGGAAATCGGTGTGAGTGCCGGGGAAGGGGGCGAGGCTGAACTGAGACCTGACCAGATCTGCCAACCAGAGTCTATTCTTGGCCTTGAAGTCGGACAGGTGCAGGTTTGCACCCTCACTCTGCCTCTCACTAGCAGTGTGACCTTAGGCTGGTTACTTCACGGTTTTGAACCTCCATCTTCTCTTTAAAGCAGAGATTGTGGTATTTTTGCAGGGTCGTCGAAGGGAGTTAATTAGCTAATATCTTCACCTCGGGGAAGTTCAGTAAATGCCATACATTCATATTTTATATAAATTTTATATTTTATTTATAGTCATACTCCTAATTGTCATAAAATTACGGAGTAGAAAGGAACATTGAGAAAGGAAAAACTCGACTGTCAGATGCTTTATGGGCCTCCTCTCATCAGAGCTGGGAATCGGTAGTCTCAACGAGCTGGAAATCTAATTGTCTCTTGTCTTCTTCAAAGCCCTTGGGCCTGATTGTTAACACATTCTGTATCCTGATTCCCTGACACCTCTCTAATTTCCTTATTTCCAATAAGACCCAAACTTCTAATTAAGACAGATGAATAGAGAATTGTCTAGTTATATAGTGATGTTTTAACTGTTTAAATGTTTCAAATGTTTTAAATCTTGGCCTAAATTATATAACTTCTGCCTTAGCTTCATTCTGATTTACCCCCAAAATGTGGCAGCCCCTTTGTAGATATTCGCCCTCTGGGGGGAGGTGGACGGGGGGAATAACGAGGAGGTGGCCATAGGAAGCTTCTGAGGTGCTGGTATTGTTCTCTTTCTTGATTTGGGGATGATTACGTAGCTCAGTTTATTTTTTGATAATTCTTCACATGCTACACTTAAGGCTTACATACTTTTTGCATGGATGCAGGTATGTTACGCATCAGTGAAAGTGTATGGAAAGTGGATACACAGGTAGGTTTATTGAAGCATTGATTGTGATCATCCGGATTTGTGGTGGAAAAACCAAAAACAAATGGGGACTTAGGATATCTATTTCATAAAATACAGTTTTTGTGAGAAAGAAACTCAGGTAGCGTAGATCACTAACTGTCACTACTTGTTAAGTAAATGACTTAACTTCCATGGATCTTAAATTGCTTCACCATAAAATGAGAAAACAATCATCTAATTTGCAGAGCCTTGTATGGATAAAATGAGGTAATCTTTAAAGCCACCAAAAAACTTCCTGCACGTGGTAGGTGCATCGCACTTGGGGAAAACGACAAGCAGATCGGTGGCATGGGTTCCTTCTCTGGGTTAATTCAGTCTTCTACAAATAACACTGGGCCCGCCCGATTTCCTAAAGAGCTTAATGAGCCAGTATCCGCCTCAGGAACCAAGTGTCAGTTCTCCGAAATGTTATGGTTTATGCTTGAGGCTCTCAGCTTGTGAGCCACTGAAGAGAGACCTCCGATTTGCAACGGAGCATTGCTACCATATTTGCTCTGCTGGGGGCTCCACGTAACTCCTTTTCTCCCCAGTGTCCTTGCTCAAGACGTGTTCCCTCTGTGTGCCACGGTGACCACAATCACATCCTTCAGCAGCTCACACAAGGGCTCTTTTTCTTGGTAGGGATGTGCTTCATCTTGTTCTTGAAAGGGCTTCCTTGGTCACAGCTGACCTGGGTATGGCGGGAGGGAGAGGCTGTCCGTGCATATGTGTAAGGTAGAGAGTTCAAGGAATATGTGCAGTCTGACTGCCACTTCCTCCAGGAGATTGTTCTCGCCTTTTGAATGGGGACCTCAGCGCTCTGAGTGTGACCGCTCCTACCCCTCGCTGGGTGAGGGGTTCCCCTGCGTACTTTGCCTTATGTCTCTACCATCTAATAGAGTAGCTTCTAGTCACATATGGCTTTTTAAATTTAAGCTCATTAAAATCAAATAAGATTTAAAATTCAGGTCCTCCAGGCTCAGTAGCCACATTTTGAGTGCTCAAGAGCCACAGTGTGACTGACAGCTACGGTATTGGACAGGGCAGACCCGGGACATTTCCATCATCACAGGAAATCGGTTTGCAGCAGGAGAACATACACCCCATCGTATTGTAACTGTTGATCGGTCTCTCTGGCATTGGACTAGCAAGTGTCAACCCTGACTTTTTTTTTTTTTAACTTGTTTTATTTTTTATTTTTTTTAATTTACATCCGAGTTAGTTAGCATCTAGTGCAACAGTGATTTCGGGAGTAGATTCCTTAGTGCCCCTTCCCCATTTAGCCCATCCCCCCACCCACAACCCCTCCAGTAACCCTCAGCTTATTCTCCATATTTATGAGTCTCTTCTGTTTTGTCCCTCTCCCTGTGTTTATATTATTTTTGTTTCCCTTCCCTCATGTTCATCTGTTTTGTCTCTTAAAGTCCTCATATGAGTGAAGTCATATGATTTTTGTCTTTCTCTGACTAATTTCACTGAGCATAATACCCTCCAGTTCCATCCACGTAGTTACAAATGACAAGATTTCATTCTTTCTGATTGCCGAGTAATACTCCATTGTATGTATGTATATGTGTGTACATATGTATGTGTGTGTATACACACACACACGCACACACACACACATATATATACCACATCTTCTTTACCCATTCATCCATCGATGGACATTTGGGCTCTTTCCATACTTTGGCTATTGTTGATAGTGCTGCTATAAACATGGGGGTGCATGTGCCCCTTTGAAACAGCACACCCATATCCCATGGATAAATGCCTAGTAGTGCAATTGCTGGGTCGTAGGGTAGTTCTATTTTTAGTTTTTTAAGGAACCTCCATATTGTTTTCCAGAGTGGCTGCACCACCTTATATTCCCATCAACCCTGACTTTTCATTAGAATCACCCAAAGAGCACTTAAAACACAAACACAGGGGTCCCTCGGGCCTACACACCAAGAGCTGTTCTAGAGTAAGGCCCAGGTATTGGGATCATAACAAAATCACTTCCCACACGGTGTGCAGCTAAAACGGAGAGCTTCTGCACTGGCCCATGAACTGCCTGAGGAGGGTTGGTGCTATGTCTTTTATCTTCATATTTTATGTGTTTGTCACCAAATACCGTTTGTTCAACAAACATTTATTGAACACCTGTTCCATGATACCATTCTGGGGGGTGAGTATATTAGACAAATCGGACAGAATCTCTGCCTTCATGAATTTTACAGTTCAGTGGGAGAGATACCAGAAAGTACTTATAATTTAGAAACTGGAAAGCTTACAGAGAGGGACCTGATGCAGTCTGACAGGGTGCTAAGGGGAACACCTCTCGGAGGAGGTGACATTCAAGGGGGTTGATGCGTACGAAGCTAAGCTGAACAAGCCTCTGAGGTAGGCCTACCGTTGTCCCCATTAGATCCCATTTTATAGGTGGTGAGGCTGAAGCTTCAAGAGCCAGACTATCTTCTGCAAGGGGCCACACCTAACAGTAATGGAACGAGGGTCTAGCTGATTCCAGCTTTGTTGTGTACCGCCACCCTGTACGTGTCTTCTACCTGACCTGTGGTTAGAGGTTCAGCACATGGGGAATGAATTGCTACATGTTGGCTAGATACGTCCCTGAGAAGCTTGCCATGAACAACTGTTAAGTGTTTAATCATGACTGTTCACAAATGACTCGATGAAATGGAACCTCCCAGCAGTGTAAATCCTGGGGTGACTTTGGTAGTTCCTGGAGAGGGGCCACGGTAGCAGTTGTCATGCCCATGGCTCGGACGTGTGGGGATAAAAACTCAGACCTCACAGACTGCTGGGACCTGATAGGGTTGCCACCATCACCAGTGAGCATAGTACACTCGGGTTTCTGGTCAGCTTGTGTGGGCAGCGCTGTGACATTTAATTCTTAAAAAATAGCTAGATGAGTAAAACAGCAGTGTTGCAGATCTTTCCATGATACATGCCCAGTGGAATCCGGGCTATTCCCATCCGAGGGCTTTTGGCCTCATCCAAAGAAGCCACAGAGGCTGAACCCTGGTATCTGGTTCCCAATGTGTTTTCATCATTTTCTTGTTTTCTCACAGTGCTTAAGTGACATGAGACCCATCTGATGTTCTTTAAAGTTTTACAAAGCATTTCTGTATTTCTGGTTTGAGATGACCAGCCACCCCCACCCCCACCCCCACCTCCCCCACCAGACTGTGGAAGATGCTGAATACCTTGGAGGTGGTCTTGCATTTACAATGTAGTTATTATGTTTATGCAGAACCTTTATCAGTATTAATTGGAACACAGTATAATAAAAACAGCAATTTTATTGGAAAAACAAGTTATCTCCCCAAAAGCCTTTAGTTTGAAAATGGCTTTGGGGATTTGTCTCTTTCTCTTACTGTCCCTGCTGCGTATGAGGCCATTTCAGAAA